GGGGGTCGGGCTCTGCTCCCAGGGAAGGGGCGATGGGACGAGGGGCACCGGCCTCAAGTTGTGCCAGGGCAGGGTGAGGTTGGCCATGGGGAACAATTCCTTCCCCTTGGGGCTGTCAGGCACTGGGAGGGGCTGCCCAGGGAAGGGGTCGAGTCCCCAGCCCTGGGGGGATTTAACAGCCGGGCAGACAAGGTGCTGAGGGTCAGGGTTTGGGGGTGGGATGGCAGGGGTAGGGGAACGGTTGGGCTTGGTGATCTTAAAGGGCTTTTCCAACCTAAATGATTCTGTGATAAAAGGCATTTTTGGTGTGCTTTGTAGTGAAGAAAATGATCAGTAACTTACAAATTAAAGTCTTATTTTTCCCCCCCATCCTTTTGGGCACATAAGCCTGGCTTACCTTTAAGAACCGCAGGAGGATTCTAACTGCTGCTAGGAACCCTGCAAGAGCTGTGGGGTATATAATTTCCTGTTTACCTTACCAACTTTCTTGGCCCAGGTCCTACACATTTTCCACACACATAGGTGGGAATTTGAAGGAAGCAGGAGAAAAGCCCTTTGAGCAACGGGTATTCCTCCAAAAGGGGTCTGGCATGGTCCATTCCTCCTTTGTGCTCACCTGTCACAGAGCACTGACAGCATCTGCAGGATCATTAAGGCACTTCAGAGCTGCCAGCAGCTTGGAAGGGCAGTTGGCATCGATGACCGTGCCTTAGCTGACCCCGGTGGAAGTAATGCTCTCCGGGCTCATGTTTTCAAACAGCAGACCTAAAACCCACCAAATGTATGAACAGGAGCACTACAGCCTATGAATTTCCTCCTCTTCCAAGCTTAGACAGGGACAGCCGTTCACTGGGGAAGCTGTTGATGGACAGTCTGGCCCCAGCAGGAGGTGCTGGTGACACCGATGTGCTCGTGTAAGCTCCCCTGTGTGACACTTATGGAAATGGAGGCGTAGGGCAGGCCCGGAAGGATGAGGGTCCCCCGCACAGGTCCACGCAGGCACTGGGCATTTCAGAGACCCGAGTGACAAGCCGTGCGCTGTGCTACAAAGGCGGTCGGACTTCAGGCACCATTACAACACTTCTGTATTTGCCCCAAAAAGTAACTTTTCTATTAGCAGAGATGGAAACCAGACCTGATTCTGAAGCCGAGGGGACGTGTCAGCCGTCCCTGGCGGAGGCTCAGCCACAGCAGGGTCCTTCCTCCACCGTCAGGCTCTGGAATGGGCTGCCCAGGGAGGTGGTCAAGTCCCCATCCCTGGAGGTATTTAAAAGAAGGGTAGATGAGGTGTTTAGGGACAGGGTTTAGTGGTGGGATGGCAGGGTTAGGTTAAAGGTTGGACTCAATGAGCTTAAAGGTCTTTTCCAACCAAAGTGATTCTATGATTCTACATTAGCCGTATTCCCACTCAAAACGTTGCTACTGATGCCATTTTCCATGGTCCAACGGAAACACATGCTCACATGTCCATGGTGGCCAACACCAACCCCTTGCCTTTAACAGCCTGTGTCACTTTGGTCTCCCTCTTCCCACCCCTGTATTTAGTGCCTGCCCATCGCCCCTAACGCCAGCCTCAGGCACCCCTTCTCTTTGCTCTCCTTAATACCCACTGCTCTTTCTTCATGCTGCACCGAGACAAAATTCCACCCCACCCCCAAGCCTTGTCAAAATTCATGGAGCTGTTTCCTCATCCTCCCGTAAATCCCTCCTTAAGACCTGCTGCTGCCTCAACACCTGCAAATCCTTGCCCAGCGGCAAGGCAGGGCTAAGCAGAGACTTCCAATTCCCTGACAAAGCCTATTTGTGTTCTTGCCGGCCCGCTCCCCCGTGTTGCCCTGCTTTTGATATCCACTGTTTTCTGGCCGAGGCATGGGCTGGAAAATCCCTACGCCTGTCATCTCTGAAGGATTATCTATAGGGGACCCAGCGTAACGGGCTTTGGTTCTGGACTGGCGTATTCCAGCATGAACACAAGGCACATGGAGGCTGGGGTGAAGATACCAGTAATCACGGTACAATGTAACGTAACGTCACGTAGTCCCGCACTATTGATAATACCACGATGCGTGTGCGCGTGTGCGCGTGCGGTGGGTTGACCTTGGCTGGCTGCCGAGGTGCCACCGAGCTGCTCTATCACTCCCCTCTTCGGCAGGACAGGCGGGGAGAGAATGAGATGGAAGAGAAAGAAAACTCGTGGGTCAAGATAAAGGCAGTTTAATAAAAAAGCAAAAGCAAAGGCCGCGCGCGGTAGCAAAAGGAAAACAAGATTTTATTCTCTACTTCCCATCAGCAGGCGATGTCCAGCCCCTTCGCGGGAAGCAGGGCTTCAGTACACATAGTTGTTGCTCTGGAAGACAAAGCATCATAAAAGAAGAATGCCCCCCCCTCCTTCTTCCTTTTCCCTTAGATTTAAAACTGAGGTGATGTCATATGGTATGGAACATCCCTTTGGTCGGTTTGGGTCAGATGTCTTGGCTACATCCCCTCCCAAGATCTTGCCCCCTCCCAGCCCACTGGTGGTGGGGGGGGAATGTTGGAGACACAGCCTTGGTGCTGTGCCAGCCCCGCTCAGCAGCGGCCAAAACCCTGGTGTGTTATCAACCCCTTTCTACACACCGACAGAAAGCACACCGCTATGCAGCTTGACCCAATACAGTGTGCTAGATGACAAATGGCATGTAAAGGCTGTTAACGGTGACAGAGCCGAGCACGATAAGCTTAGGAAACAGCGCCAATAAATTTAGGTGTAAATTCAGAATTTTGTATCTGTTTTTCCTTTGTTCTTCAGTCTCCTTTTGTGTATGGAGCCATACTAATGCCCTCTCAAGGTACACTATGCAGCTTGACCCAATACAATGTGCTAGATGACAAATGGCATGTAAAGGCTGTTAACGGTGACAGAGCCGAGCACGATAAGCTTAGGAAACAGCGCCAATAAATTTAGGTGTAAATTCAGAATTTTGTATCTGTTTTTCCTTTGTTCTTCAGTCTCCTTTTGTGTATGGAGCCATACTAATGCCCTCTCAAGGTACAAATCTTAGGAAAGCTGGCAGGCTGTGTTTTTGAAGGGGACGGCTCTTCGCTTCCCAAATAAGCAAGGGCAGAGACGATGCTGCACAGCACATTTAGTCACGGACAAGACAAAGACTGTTTCTGCATGTAGCTGATGAGGAGTAAGAGGTACTAATTCTCTCAGGTGTTCTCTCAAATGTACAAAGCTGTCCTGGTTTCGGCTGGGATAGAGTTAATTTTCTTCATAGTAGCTAGCATAGTGCTGTGTTTTGGATTTAGCACCAGAAGAATGTTGGTAACACACTGATGTTTTCAGCTGTTGCCAAGTAGTGCTCAGACTACTCAAGGACTTTTTGAGCTTCTCCTGCTCGGCCAGGGGCATAACAAGCTGGGAGTACAGCACAGCTAGGACAGCTGACCCAAACTGACCAAAGAGCTATTCCATACCATAGAACGTCATGCTCGGGGGGGTTAGTCGGTCGGTCGGTCGCTGCTCGGAGACTGCTCACTGCCTGGGGACTGCTCGCGGCTCAGGGACTGCTCGTGGCTCCGGGGGGGCGGGGGCC